GGACGGACGGACGGACGGACGGACGACGGACGGACGGACGCCGGACGCCGCGCCATGGCATAAGCTCACTTGGCACTTCATTATCTGTTTTATGGGTTGTACCTTGTAGGCAGACAAGTGGTTGTCACGGAATTCAGATGGTTTCATTTGACTAAGAACATCTTCTAAACGTGGAATAGATTCTTTACTTCTGGTTTTCATCTGTAATAAGTAGAATAAAAAGTTGAAATATTACCTTCTTAAAATGAACCACACCATTGAAGTTAATTCTTACTCGAAACTTTCTCATTATAGCAGGCATATCTGATGCATTTTTTATACGTTATATAAATACTTTTTATAATAAAAATGCATACTGTATATAGCTTATATAGAACGATATTTCATTGCATAAAAGTAACTCCTCTCACTTTAATCATTCTGTACAAATCATAGCGGTTTATTAACACATGAAATACGTTTTTAATACATAACCAAGATTATTTTCTGATAAACTATTTCTATAACAGTTAATATTTTTCAATAAACTGCTTGATAACATCGAGTAGGGTATCCCTATTTGACAATTAAAATGTTTTCGTATCAATCTTAAATGAGGCTGAATGTCAATATTTTTATTGGGCTGCTATCCCAATGTTTAATTCTTCAATAAAAACACAAACGTTTTGGACTGGTTATGTAAGGTCTTGTATGGTTCAGTCAGTGCCACTGATGGACTGATCAAGAAATTAAATATCGTCTAGTAGATCACTAAATCGATTAATCTTGAAAAAGAAGTAATTCTGATTTAAATTCAGTATAATAATAATAATAATATATCTTACTTACTATATAGTAATATGTATCTTATATAATATAAACAATATTATGTTTTCCATTTAAGATATCTTACATTGTATATAGTATGTAAGATACATCCTATGCTATAATTTTGATTATTTGACAAGGAATAAATGTTATGTTGCCTTTCCACACATTATAATCTTTGTAAATAGGGTGACGGATCGGAGGCCAGTATTTGTGAATTGACGGATAATTTCAGAGACAGCTTGCAGGCCAAAGTACATTAGTGGGCACGGAAAAGGCAAATGGCTAATACAATTAAAATTTGTTAATATGTCTAAATAATAATACTTGAATACCTTAGACACTTAACAAATTAATATACCAATAGTTCTGCAAATCAAAATCACAATCCGATCGAAACGAGGGAATTACATGGTTGACTTGGAAGCTGACAGCGATACAGCTGTAATATAAATCGACAGGTACAGTAATACAATAACGTATCAAAATACTTACTAATTTACGAAGAGAAAACGATTGCCTTCCTTTTTTGTGTTCTGAAAGTTAAAAAAGAATGTTGTTAATTACAGATAAATATTTCATTTCATTTCTGACCAATAAGTTCAAGCTGGGCAAGCGAATAATTAAGATTAAATTGGAAATCTAATGTTCTAAAGCCTTAAATGATACATATACAAATACTTATCACATACGTATATGTTTCAGAAGGCTGATGTGTCTGCGCTTGCTTTCAAATCCTGCAGTGAATATTGTTGAATGAACATTGTTTAGTAATTCAATTCGATAACTCTTGTTTTAAGTGAGTAAACAGAAGAATTTTGTGCAGAACTAGTAGCGCTGAAAGGTCAAACTGTATTAGAGCGTAATTAGTATAATTGGTCTTGGTGTCGTTTGGATAAATACTGCAGATAACTAAAATTTTGTCATTTTACCGTTTTGTACTTACTCGCTAGGAAATGACATGACGTTTCACTTCACGTGCATGCCTAACATTATGTTTGCTTGGCCGTGTGATACTGGAAACCGTGATGCAGGTCTAACACCAATTTACGAGGAAATATATAACCCGCATACTTAAGGTAAGCGACAAGTACGGTATTGTATATCAATGTAATCTGGAAAAACTTTTATGTTGTCATGGTGATTTATCTTACGCAGACGGTCGCAGTCTCCTAGATGTAGTCGCACTGACCTGCATGTTAGCAGTTATCCTAAACAAATGATCACAGAAAGCTACCGCGCGAACAAAACAAATGCATGTCTACTCGAGCAATGGTGTTAGCGAACTTACCATCTGATATGCTTGAAGAGGAACCGTTTTTCTGTGAATACAGGTCGGCGATAGTGTTTCGCTTCATAAGTTTCTTATGGTGATCGTGCACTAGAAGATCCCCGGGGTACACGTTCATTGTGAGGTCAACAGAACTTCTCCGCCGTCGCAATCTTTCCGCAATATTACTGCAACAGAAAGGTGCATATAGGTAAAAGTCATGTAGCATACAAACAAGTTCATTTGAAAAAGTCCAGACAGGTACTATAATAACATTGGTGCCAACAGGTTCCACAGTTAGTATAACGAGAACAAGAGCAAACCAGTTGATATAAAACTGCCAAGGTCCAAAAGACGTGTTTCTACCTAACATGATAAAAAGTCGCACACTTGATCCAGAGGACTCACAAAAGAAGACAAAACTCTACATCCATCTTCGAAGTATGCCGAGCCTCAAATACCTTTTCTGAACTTTGGCAGATGTTTCAAATTATTTTGCTTTATCCTTAACCGAACTACACAAGAGTAGTGCCGATTTAACGTGTGCTTCTTTCTCTTAGTGGAGAGGTTTTATAATCTACCTCACACACCCATGAAGTCTGAATAAACGAACGATCGCTAAAGACTCTCACCAACCATCAACACTAGACTACTTTCTTGATGTTTCTAAAAGTAAACCCACAAACAATATTGATTTAACAGAAACTTGCATGCAAACCTCACGGTATTAATCATTTCCATAGCTTTTTTCTTTTGAAAGAAACAGCCAATTACTGGGTCTATTTTCCAAATCCGAGCAATGCGATCGGCCTATGTGCCCGCAAGTAGGAATCGAGATTATTGCCCTTGCCTTAAGCTTCATCACGTCAGGACAAGTCCGTAACAATGCTTTCGGCTGAATCTATCGTCAGCACATTACGTATCACCGCTTAACAAGCGCTATTACAGAAATAAGTAGCATTTCAATTATACAAATGTACCTTCTTGTAATTTTTAGACGCCGGTTAATCAAATGACGCAATCAAGATTTAAATCCATAGTATCTTCAGTAACGTATACGCCTGCGAGACTCTTTCTATGTTAATCCTACTTATACATGTTTAAGTACTTTGAACAAGCAAAACGATATTTCTTATCCAATTATTATCATGTCAGTAAGGATAATGACAAATTTATAAAAGGCCCTAACCGTGAGCATCAGTATTTCCATGAAAACAATATTAAACTTCAAAATTAATACATACAAAAGGATTACAATATCAAGCCAATACATTTATACCACACGCAGGTTTTCTAAAACTCGTTATAACAGGCCTGGTATGTTAGCAAAACGAGGTCAAGCAATCAAGTATCGCCAATCACGAACTGAGACACAAATACCTTTTCCGTGATTCGACAATAAAACAAACGTCATCTGATGTCATGGGCTTACCCAATAGCAAACACGTAAAAACATAACTCTCCGTCCATGGTCGCACCCCAGGAAGTGTATCACCTGTCATTCTAATCAAAGTTTGATTATAAAGTCCACATCGAACTGTCGTATCAGAATTGAACTATAATGACAACAAGAGTCGCAGGCAAAATTCACCAACTGCATTATTTACTCAGCACTCGTACTAATATCTGAGCCCGTGGCCGTGCATGTCAATCTGGACGGAATTCCAAGTGTTATATTAGTTTGATAGCCAAAGGACTTCACACGAGTTAATAAAATTGTCCAGTCAGGCCTAAGTAGTCAACGAATAGTCAGCTTTACGTTTGCAATTTAATAATTTTAATGACGGTTTTTTAATACGGAAAACACCATTTTATCCAAACAAGATACGTTCAGAAAATCTTTTGAAAAAAATAGAGCAAATAGTGGTTTTGAATATGTATTTACTTATAAAGCTAGCAACCAACGAACGAGTCCGGATTGTTTTGAGCTATCACGCCGACGATCGGCTCCTTAATAATTGGATGATCACTCGCTTTGTTGACAACCTTATCTACCCTTGTATTACGTCATCCAATCTAGTACCGACCAGTCATTGTTGTGGGTCACTATATATAACCAAACTGTCACGATCTCATTGAAATAATCGATCTATAATTCTCAAAATGCGTACTACAAACAATATAGTCATGCTCATCAATTTGTTTCAGACAGTACATGACGATGGTGTTAAACGGTAAAGGAGATATCAATGTATTTAACACTTAGTATAGTGCATATGTTTAAGGTGACTTACTCAGTGTTTTCAACCTTTTAATTTAATTTCTGTACCCTTAGTCTTTAAAAACTTTTATCAAACCAGATACAAAAAACACAAGTCCGTATTTAAGTTTCTCTTTGCAACATAGGAGCTTTCTCGATCAATGTTTATGACTTTTTAGGACAATCAGGATTTTACACGGTTGCAGATGTGGTTTCAAGTTTCTGCAAATCTCAAATTGTATTAATAAGAGATTTAAAGTTTTCTTTTCGGTTGATACTTTCTCAGAAACGTTTGCTTTTCTATTACCCTTAATTCTATCGAAAACGTCGATTTCCCCCTCCCCCCTCGCCCCCAAGCATCGTTGTTGTAAGAAGCTTTTATTATAAGTTGTGACTTAAACGTTTCTGTCGACTACTATTGATGTGCAAAATCAAACCTTTTTCTCAGACCTATCAATCGGTGTTTTTTTTGGGAAAATATTTGACAAAATCATGCCTTTCCAAATCAATTACCCGTTTTGAGGTCATTAACAAGATGGCGCAGAGAAAGCTAGCATTGAGTAATGTTGATGAGACGCGACAGAAAATTTGTCATCGAGACAAGCAGAATCTTACAATTAAAACGAGTTTCTGTTTTATATGTGATTGATGAAGCGAGCGGCTGAAGTTTTATTCACTTAATTGAGCCTTTCGTGAAATTAGTTTCAATCCTCACATATACCGTTTACTTTGTTAAACTGACATGATTCATGCCATCATTCTATATAGATAGAACATTCTATATAGATAGTACATTGTATATAGAAAGTACGTTCTATATAGATAGTACATTCTATATAGATAGCACATTCTATATAGATAGTACATTCTATACAGATAGTACATTCTATATAGAAAGTACGTTCTATATAGATAGTACATTCTATATAGATAGAACATTCTATATAGATAGAACATTCTATATAGATAGAACATTCTATATAGATAGAACATTCTATATAGATAGAACATTCTATATAGATAGAACATTCTATATAGATAGTACATTCTATATAGATAGTACATTCTATACAGATAGTACATTCTATATAGAAAGTACGTTCTATATAGATAGCACATTCTATATAGATAGTACATTCTATATAGATAGTACATTCTATATAGATAGTACATTCAGGTTGGTATTGCTCATTTTAACGTATTGGAAACCTTTCACTATGGTGGTGCAGGAACAATGACAAGTATTTTTTTTCTTCAGTTTAACATGTTATTCTTGCTTGATGCTATCGAATTGTTGCCCTAGAAAGCAAGAAAACCTATGAGGTTAAACTAAATAAATAACGTTTCGAAATTGATTCGAATTGTTTTTCACATTTAGATAATCGTGTGTCGCAATTTTCCCTTGATAAACAGGACTAAAACGTTTTCTCTTAGAACATATACGTATTCAACATTGCACGTAGGCTATCGATCAAGATGAAAAATCTGTGTAGTCCAAAGTAGACTCCGCTATCCTGAACGTAATCCTGACCCTCATACTCATTAAATCATTCTCGTGTTTGAGCATAAGTCATATGCTCAATCAACGTTCTTGTCACTCAAGGAGATCTTGGAAAGGGTTTATAATGTTTTCTAGTAACATGAGAAATGTATCAGCTAAATAGCTCGGCTAAAGACAGAAAACAATTGAAACAATCTGAATGTTTGTTTGAGCTTGAACATAGGATCTGAGTTTAAGCCTTTGAATAAAAGGAATTTCTCACTTTGACTATGGTTTGAGCAACATGTACCCTGATCTTCGATATAGCTTTATTGCAGTTTATGACATCTTCGCCAATGTCATTTTATGACCACGGAACTATGCAAACTGCACAAGGTCATAACAGGCAGGGGTTATATTACACTCGGTCCTCAGCGACCAGAGGTCGACTGCAGTTCAGGGCCATGGTAACGCACACCACATGACCACAGAGAAGAATTTATTGATTCGATATGGCAGCCTTATTATTTATGATTAGGGATTTACTTCATATCATTTCCTGATACACGTCAGTCTAATGTTCGCGATCTCATCAGCAGTCCTACTTTGTCTTCAGCAGTCCTACATTGTCTTCAGCAGTCCTACTTTGTCTTCAGCAGATCAAACCTGTCGGTCTAAAACTTTACTGAAGCAGTTGTCCACACCAATGAAACTGACATATGCGTCCATTAGCTTAGATTAGCGCATTGGTGCCTTAACCCATTCAACGTTTGACAACCCTTGCAGTATATTATAATTCTATAATTTCCTTATTAACGACGATTTATTGAAAGTGACAGTCTGAAATCAAATTTTACCGAATGATACCACTTCCGTTATTACAACTGACATTGCATGTTGAAACTTACTCCAAATTGATTTCCTACAACAATACCTTCCCAATAGGCAGAAAGTCAATGTTATACCATATTAGGCTGCTACCATAGATACCACCCGATAATCAGATAGCGGTTATGTTAAACCCTTTTAGCAAGTTTGAAGAATAACCAAATTCTAGTTCTCCGGGGGTTGTATTATTGTATTAGTTATTTCCTAATTTAAAAGCTCGTCTGCTTCTATTACTAATATCAAATACTCATCAGTGATGCTATGTGACAAGGTTGTGAGCTGAACTTTTCGTCCGATAATTTTGCCAGTATATGACTGTATATATAGAAGATTGATATATCGATAAAACACTTATAAAATTTGTTCATCGACAAATTAAGACCAATCAAAATAAAATATTATCCAATCATAAAATATATATGGTTTTTTACACATGTATCACACCAGAAAGTATCTCAGACATCAATATACTTGCCAAACCCAAAGGTAGTACTTGAAATAGCGGAAACCTCCCAAACAAACACACACACACACACGAACTACTGCATGATTTCAACATTATGCTTAACTACCTTGCATTATCGCCTTCGTCACAGGAATTGCTAGGGGATACTTCCGGTGAGAGCGTTGTCGGGGAGACATCGCCAAAGTTCTGAAATAAAGAAGCATTGAGTTTGATATACTAATAAGACTAGAAACCATGGAATATAATCCATAGACAAATTATCATGAATCGAGACAGCAGTTTTCTTTCATGCTAGATATTAGTAAATTTAACAGTACTGATACATATTCATTTGATAAAATATGTTTTTGTCCCTTTGAAGAAGTTTATTGCGACATTTTAACCGAGCGATTTCGGTTGATTGACATGCATATCAAAAAAAAATATTGCGTTCATTTAGTGTTAGATTATGCTTGTTCATTTGTTCATTTTTTAGGAGAATCGTGAGACAATTTCCAGAGCTTGTACAGAATACACTAAACGAACACCAAATGCCAGACACATTGAACAGACACTAATCCGACCTCTGCGTCGTCAACATTTGGTTTATATGTTTTTCTGTCTGACTTGTGTTACAAACTTTTTTTATAAGGCATACGATTGTGGTCTGTGATAAACAGTTCCATCTTCAAACAACCCAGTGCATAACACACAGGAACGTGCAAAGAATTATTAACTGAAGGAAGCAATTAAATGATTGTTAGACGGTCACTGTCGCTCTAGTGTCGCACATTTAATGTGAGTTTAATGCAATTTCCTGAAATATTTTCCAGCATGCTAACATTTCAAAAGTGAAACTAAATATCAAAATGACTGCATAAGTTGTTTATATTATTCACACATATCATTCTCGTATTGCAGATATTACTTTTAACAAGAACCATGACTAGCTAGTATTTGCACACGTGATCTGCAAAGCCACAGTGTGCACCATGACTCTAGATGAATTATCAGGGCCCGTGCTCAAGCATGGATTTTGTGCTCAAGCCTATTTTCTTCTTCCGGTTAAAAATGATTCAGTCAAGGATTTGGCAAAAAAGCCGAACACTGTTTTCAGTGTTCATCATTGACTTTTTGATCGTTTGATATGACTTAAGTGAGTTACAATAAAGCTGGTTTGAGCACAGAATCCATGCTTGAATATAGGAATGTTTTTAGGACTACGGACCAGGACTTGTTTTCGAAAGTCTAATTGCTATATTGAGAACACAGTGTTTGATGTTTCACTTCAAAATGACGACATTAAGAATTACAAATCTAGAAGTGGACTTTGCCAATATTCGTACAAATTTCTTTCATTCTAAACATTAACGGCCTTTGCTAAAATTTTGGTATACAATTGGTGTGCAGTTTTAGCCACTCTCACAACATTGATATAGTGAAATACCATCTCCATTCCTTACAGATAAATAGATAAGATAATAATAATTTATCACACTGTATTTTCGGGGTTTGTCGTGAGAACATATACACGTGGATACAATCGAGAGTCCATCGATGAAAGACTTATGAGACACTTTACTAAAAAAATGTACAGTATTATACATAAATTACATAATCGACATTCTTAAAATGTCATTTTATAGTGGTGTTAAACAGATCTAGTATAGTTTAATTACATATACATACAGACAATATATGTATGATTGACACGACGTGAAAGTCTTACCTTGGTGTCAACAATGGCAGCGCGCCTCCCTCGTCTGGCCACGGGTGGTGACGGTTCCACATCACTCTCATCCGACACGCTAGTCAGACTGAGCGAGGAGCGTCGACGAGAGTTCTGAAAAAGAAATAAAAAAAGATACAACTTAGAGTCATGATCATTTTGTTAAAGTCTAGTATACTTTTCTGTTGTTTATCGAGCGCCTGATCGTTCAGTATATTTTTTCGTAGCGGCAACAAGTCCATCATGAATGATATCAAACCTCAGATGGTGTTTGTGTAACGTCGACGATGGGGATGCAAATGTAAACTTGGTGAATTTATATGGAATGAAATTGATATATAACAGAATGTATAGTTAACTTTACAGAAAATGCATACAGTTCCATAACATTTATACACTGGTGATAATAAAAACATATCAATAAAATGTGCATATCAACGGTTGCTAACCACGTGACAAATGAACATACCGAGCCCTCGGAAAGGACGGGAAGCTGAGCCACGTGACACGTGACGTCGACGGTGTAAGCCCGCCATAGAGCTCTACGACGTTTTTGTTTTGATTTTGACCTTGGTAAAGTTGACATTGGGCCTTCGTCAATACGGAATTCTTTTACACCAAGATGGCCATTTTCTGCCATTGCATTTCAAGTGTGTACCACATAAAAAGTGAAGTCGTTGGTTTACGAAACAAACGCATACAAATCAATAGGTGGATACGTTTAGGAAAATGTTTTAGCTCCATAGCATGTAAAAAACTTTCAGACATTTTTAATCCGATATAATTAATCACATATTGCCATCATTAATCCATTTAGCGTTAACGATGAAAATCACAAAGCACACACCTCAATAATTACTTGGTAGTGAAATTTATCCTGAACGAAATCGCAAAATCCAGAAAACACTTCCACAGACGTTCTATTATCACATTGGAAATGAGAAGAGCCATTTCAGGCTAATGGATGCTTCGCAAAGCAACCCAATTGTCACTTCAGTCTCGTGTGCTGAAGCATTTAAACAGGTTCAGAATACGAGATGACAGGGTGAAATTGCCGAATCAATTGCAGTCGATAACACAACACAAATGAACAGCTTTAAACGAAGGAAATAAACATTAGTGCTGTTTTTTTCAGTATGGAAATTCTACCCATCACCAGTGCCAGCGACTGTCGTTCAGCAGAACTGTACTGAGTGGTACTGTATAAAATGACTTCTCAGACACAGCATCTGTAAAAGGTGCCCCCGGGATTTTACAGAACAGGTGAAATAGTAGCGCCACTAAATACTGTAGCGCGCCCCTTCGCTGTGGCGGAAAATCAATTGTCACCACTTTGTCATGACACTAGCAGTTGATCATAAACGCTTAAGCCCCTCCGGTCATCGGTGGTCAGGTTTCCGAAGGATCGGCAATATTAATGTTCAATTAATCAATTATCTACATTCTAATGATAAACCGGCTATTAAAACACATAGATGGGAGAGGTGATGGCCATACTAGAATATTAACGTATATATCAGAATGAAAGCAATGAAAGCGCTTGAGATATCATGTCTGATGGCTGTCAGCACAAACACTCATCTCCTGAACACATCCACGTCCATAACACATGCATTATCGACACACAATATCTTCCTGAACTCATGCATTCAGCGCCTCAACTCATACACTCACCGCCTCCACTCATACATTCATCGCGTCGACTCATATATTCACCGCCTCAATACATACACTCACCGCCTCCACTCATAGATTCACCGCCTCAATACATACACTCACCGCCTCCACTCATACATTTACCGCGTCAACTCATACATTCACTTCCTCAATACATACACTCACCACCTCAACTCATACACTCAGTGGCTAAACTCATACACTCACCGCGTCAACTCATACATTCACCGCGTCAACTCATACATTCACAGCCTCAATACATACACTCACCGCCTCAACTCATACACTCACCGCCTCAACTCATACACTCACCGTCTCAACTCATTTATAGCCTCAATTCATACACTCATCGCCTCAACTCAATAACACAAGGACTCAATTGATAAAATCAGTAACATAACTCATACTTTCAGCGCCTCAACTCATACACTAACTGCCTCAATTCACACACACACACACACACACACACACACACACCACATAAACTTATACATTCCACGCCTAATAACATTAATTCACAACCCCAACTCATATTCTCATCGTGTCAACTCATACAATCACCGCGTCAACTCATACACTCACCGCGTCAACTCATACATTCACCGCGTCAACTCAAACACTCACCGCGTCAACTCATACATTCACCTCGTCAACTCATACACCCTCCGCGTCTACTCATACATTAACCGCGTCGACTCATGTACTCATCGCGTCAACTCATACATTAACTTCCTCAACTCATACACCCTCCGCCTCAACTCATACACTCACCGCTTCAACTCATACACTCACCGTCTCAACTCATTTATAGCCTAAATACATACACTCAGCGCCCCAACTCAATAACACACGGACTCAATTAATAAAATCAGTGACATAACTCATACTTTCAGCGCCTCAACTCCTAAACTAACTGCCTCAATTCACACACACACACACACAACATAAACTCATACATTCCACGCCTAATAACATAAATTCACAACCCCAACTCATATTCTCATCGTGTCAACTCATACAATCACCTCCTCACCTCAAACATTAGCACCTCAACTCATACACTCACGGCGTCAAATCATGCACCCGCCGCGTCAACTCATACACTCACCGCGTACTCACCACGTCAACTCATACATTCACCACAACACCTCACCTCATACGTTCCAAGCATTATCACATACACTAACCACCTCGACTCATATATTCACCACCTCGATTCATTCATTCACCGCGTCAACTCAAACACACATCGCGTCAACTCATACGTTCACCGCGTCAACTTATACACTCACCGCGTCAACTCATACACTCAACGCGTCAAATCATACATTCACCGCGTCAACTCATACACTCACCGCGTCAACTCATACATTCACCTCATCAACTCATACACCCTCCGGGTCTACTCATACACTCATCACGTCAACTCATACATTCACCGTCTCAACTCATGCATTCACCTCGTCAACTCATACATTCACCGCGTCAACTCATACACTCACTTCGTCAACTCAAACAATCCCCGCGTCAACTCATACATTAACCTCGTCAACTCATACACCCTCCGGGTCTACTCATACACTCATCACGTCAACTCATACATTCACCGCGTGAACTCATACACTTATCGTGTCAATTCATACATTCACCTCGTCAACTCATTCATTCACCGCGTCAACTCAAACACACATCGCGTCAACTCATACATTCACCGCGTCGACTCATACATTCACCGCGTCAACTCAAACACTCACCGCGTCAACTCATACATTCCCCTCGTCTACTCATACACCCTCCGCGTCAACTCATACTCAACTCATACATTCCCCGTGTCAACTCATTCATTCGCCTCGTCATCTCATACATTCACCACGTCAACTCATACACTTATCGTGTCAACCGATACATTCACCTCGTCAACTCATACATTAACCCCCTCAGATACACTCACCGCGTCAACTCATACACTCCCCGCGTCAACTCATACACTCACCGCATCAACTCATACACTCAACGCGGCAAATCATACATTCACCGCGTCAACTCATACACTCACCTTGCCAACTCATACACTCACCTCGTCAACTCAAACATTCACCGCGTCAACTCATACATTCCCCTCGTCTACTCATACACCCTCCGCGTCAAATACATTAACCTCGTCAACTCATACAGCCTCCGCGTCTATTCATACATTCACCGCGTCAACTCACGCACTCACCGCGTAAACTCATACACTCACTGCGTCAACTCATACACTCACCTCGTCAACTCAAACAATCCCCGCGTCAACTCATACATTAACCTCGGCAAATCATACACCCTCCGCGTCTATTCATACATTCACCGCGTCAACTCATGCATTCACCTCGTCAACTCATACATTCCCCGCGTCAACTCATACATTCCCCTCGTCTACTCATACACCCTCCGCGTCAAATACATTAACCTCGTCAACTCATACACCCTCCGCGTCAACTCATACTCAACTCATACATTCCCCGTGTCAACTCATTCATTCGCCTCGTCATCTCATACATTCACCACGTCAACTCATACACTTATCGTGTCAACCGATACATTCACCTCGTCAACTCATACATTCCCCGCGTCAACTCATACATTCCCCGCGTCAACTCATACACTCACTTCGTCAACTCAAACAATCCCCGCGTCAACTCATACATTAACCTCGTCAACTCATACACCCTCCGCGTCTATTCATACCTTCACCGCGTCAACTCAAGCACTCATCGCGTCAACTCATACACCCACCGCGTCAACTCATACATTCACCTCGTCAGCTCATACACTCTCAGCCTCAATTCATACACTCATCGCCTCAACTCAATAACACACGGACTCAATTAATAAAATCAGTGACATAACTCATACTTTCGGCGCCTCAACTCATACACTAACTGCCTCAATTCACACACACACACACACACACACCATAAACTCATACATTCCACGCCTAATAACATAAATTCACAACACCAACTCATATTCTCATCGTGTCAACTCATACAATCACCTCCTCACCTCAAACATTAGCACCTCAACTCATACACTCACGGCGGCAAATCATGCACCCGTCGCGTCAACTCATACACTCACCGCGTACTCACCACGTCAACTCATACATTCTCCGCGTCTATTCATACATTCACCGCGTCGATTCATGCACTCACCACGTCAATTCATACACTCATCGCGTCAACTTATACATTCACCTCGTCAACTCATACATTCACCACGTCAACTCATACATTTACCGCGTCAACTCATACATTCACCGCGTCAACTCATACATTCACCGCGTCAACTCATACATTCACCGCGTCAACTCATACATTCACCTCGTCAACGCATTCATTCACCGCGTCAACTCATACACTCACCTCGTCAACTCAAACATTCACCGCGTCAACTCATACACTTATCGTGTCAACCCATACATTCACCTCGTCAACTCATACATTCACCGCGTCAACTCATACATTCACCTCGTCTACTCATACACCCTCCGCGTCAACTCATACACTCACCGTGTCAATTCATACATTCACCTCGTCAACTCATACACTCTCCGAGTCAACTCATACAATCATCGCGTCAACTCATGCACTCACAGTGTAAAATCATACACTCACCGCGTCAACTTATACACTCACCGCGTCAACTCATACACTCGGTGCGTCAACTCATACATTCCCCGCGTCAACTCATACATTCACCGCGTCAACTCATTCATTCACCACGACGACTCATACACTCACCTCGTCAACTCATACTCTTTCTGCGTCAACTCAAGCACTCACTGCGTCAACTCAATTACTCACTGCGTCAACTCATTCACTCACCGCGTCAACTCAATACACTCACCGCGTCAACTGAAACACTCACTGGGTCAACTCATACACTCACCGCGTCAACTCATGTACCGCGTCCACTCAAACACTCACCATCTCAACTGATAAACATTATCACCTCAATAGAATGTGTTGCCTTGTAATAAGACTGGACAGAGCGTGACTAACTTTGTTCAAACAGGAAGTTAACCTTTGACCTGTACTATTGTTTGATATATTTACTCCATAAGTGTTGTTTCATTGCAATACAGCCAAGAATATTGCCCGATAAAGGGACTTTTGTATATTTCCACGAGAAATGCACATGATTATAGCGGTCTGCGTAATTCAATGGCGTAAGAAAGTCTGACATCCCGCGGTGCTGTAATCAAAATTCATTACACACGATCGTCTTACGAAAGGCAAGATCCCATATAACGTTAAATATGCTGATCTTTGAACGAAAAAGAGACGTAAGATTTACTACTGTTTACTAATTATATCGACTTTCCTCGAGAGCGATCCCTGGAGATTTCAAATGAATGCTGACATTCGGAGTCTTGATAATGTGATTAAAGAAAGAAATTAAAGATTTCGTTCACGAATAGCTTTAAGTACTTAAAAGTTAAAGTTTAATTAAAACAAATACCCGCATGTTTCTTAGTGTAAATAGTAAAAAGTTTCAATAAAAAGTTTGTAATATATATGCAAAATGTATGATGATTTTTACCGGTCAATGTCGACTCACATCGCGTATTTGTTCCCATAAAAGAACCTGTTACACGACAATACATAATACTATCCTTGGTCAACATATATAAAGAGGTTACACAACTGATTCTACCACAATCTCATTATCCGTCGGAAATAACATACACACATGTGTTTGTTGACAAGGCTGGCGTAGTGATATGACCCATATGTAAAAAGTCACTCATTAATATTCAAAAATGACTTCTTTTTTTACAAATTTAATTATTGTCAAAATAAATGTTTTGGCAACAACTTAATGAAAAAAAAAAAATATAGATGAATGACTTTAAATATTGAGAGTAGCAGTATTCATTAAATTATATAAATTAAGCACGGACTAGATGCGCGTAAGCATATCGTAAGAAGTCTGCCTCCCGCCAAGTGATAAAACCGTTGTAGACGAACTTATCGCTTTCAATATCCAAAACCATAGGCCTACGTTTCTTCGTGACGGTTCTATGGTTGACGTTTATAGTGAAAGTTCAGCCATAGTCAGACCGTCTAAATAGCGATAACGGGACGTTGGGAGAACGAAATATTTCTCGACACTGTGACAGATCGATCTTGTTTTGGTTTCACGACCTGGACACGCGACGGTGTGACGTCGAAACGATATCGAGCGTCTGTAGCAATTTTGCCTGAAACTAACGATCAAATCTTTAAGTATCATCTTTTAATATTGCCTTAATAACCCCCTTTTCCGCATAACCTCACAAAGTCACCAACATTTGTCGAATGTTAACAGCCGACGACGTAAACAAAACAGCAGGTGGCAAAAAGCACGTGGAAAAAGTCTTCCCGGCCAAGATTCATCTTCTCGACCAATCAAAACTCTTGAAGGTCATATACCACGTGTGGTATATAACTCATATTTATCTAACAGTCTGCGTGTGTATACAATGATCTGAGAGTGGAATAACACAGCGTATTGTGGTAGAAATGTAACATCCCGGTGATATGAAAATATAGTTCATTTTACCGGGCTATAGTTTCAGGACTGTATCCTTGTCATAATGAACCAACGAAAAAAGGACACTGCAATCACATGGCTATCGCCCCGCCTACATTAATATCATTACGCCATGTGGACCGAGCCAATCTGGTGACAGGTGGGCAGAGTAAGTATTCGACCTTGACCCTTCAGTCTGTATGTAATCGATCACTGATCGAGACATCACGACTGATAATAGTGAAAGAGTAGAGATTGCTTTCGATAGATTTCCAGACAATTGCGGCTTGGATTATTGTATTTCAAAAATGTCTGCGTAGTTTATATCAGTATGATAACAGAGTTTAGATAAATTACGATTTCGGGATAAAGATTCTAGCAATCTCCTGGTTCCTCTCGATCAGGTCTATTTCCGATCAAACAAACAATTATCGCAACGGGAATGTTGACACAATCAATTAATCTACATATTTGATTTGCGTGGCTATAATAAATTAGTAATAGATATATACAACTCCTGTGGAATAGTAATTTCAATGTCCCCTCAAGACGAACCATTTCCCTCTGCCTTGAGGAAACAGTACGGCTTCTGGGACAATAGCATGACAACTTCTTTTGTTCTATTCTATAACTGTATATACCACTTTTTACTTTTATTATGTTTCTACTTGTCGGTCATTGTCTTATTCTTTCTTTTGCACAGAGTCGTTTTTATACCAATGTTCTTAATGGAATGGTATATATTGACTTATGAAAAAAAACTGCAATGATATTATTTAACGCGGTTAACGACAACAAAACCCATAACAAATGGACAAGTCCAAGCCGCTAGAGTTGCGCGAGTGCCATGCGATACAGATAAAATTATCAGCAAGATATAAATAAGTACGCATATATCTTCTAGTATCATCTTTAAAGTAGCAAGTACAGAGGCGGTATACATTTCTTTTCATTGTAAACCCGACGAATCGTACTATTTAGGCCACGGAATCTCAAGGATGTACAACACTTGGTTCCGTGTTTCACACTGCTACACTACAGATGCTTTAGTAGTACCCAAGTTTTCATTCTCGTGTTAAGTTGAGACTCTGAAGATATGAAGGTACTTCTAATACTGAATTACACCGACTTACTCAGATAATTGTTTCCAGGATGTTTTTCCGTTGCCCGGAGAACTACCATGTTCCTAAAACCTTACGTCATGTATTGGCGATCAGCTGCTAGTAAACTGTCTGCTCTCCATCCCTATTCTACTGTTTCCGGGTGTCGCAGGCTAACCACACGTTAATTTACCATCAATCTCTAGATGAATTTTTGTCATACTATACACGAAAAGTTATCTGTTTTATTTACTGGTCTCTTGACAATATCTTCTTCAGTATCTTGTGCTTCTACTCCGGAAAAAATCGTACTTGACACGTAACTCTTTTAAGTAGGGAAGTATTGACGCGATGTGGTTTACCTGCACATCCAACGCCAAACTCTATCAATCTGTAAGGGGAGGCTACCCTCTAGAATTAACGGTATGAAACACACATAGGACATCCATTTTGTTCCTGTTCATGACTACATTTCCCTAAGGTGAGACACTTCTTTTTAAATCATAGAGTTTAACAAAGCACCAGCACGAGCTCTTCCCGCAAGCATAACATAAAGCACCAACGAAGATTTGCCGCAAAGCTCTCAAGTCATATTCCTTAACAAATATCGGCAGTACAGTGTTCTAGACGAAAATTCAATAAAATGACAAATACCGCCATTTGTCATTGAGCTATAGTCATTCCGCCATTACACGAAATCATTGGTGTAAAAAAACTACTGCCGTGGGCTTGTCAGCGGCATAGGAACAATAGACGTTGCTTTCCCATAAAAAACCGATTCTGCTTTGATTTCTAAGAAGGTCAAACTAAGTATAGTGGTTCCCTCAGGCAAACAACTCCTTACTAAATTATTAGTGTGGCCATGTTTCCAGTATTCCCACTATTTCTTCCAGGAATAAATTGCGACAGTGCACTTACAAGTTTTTTTTTTTTTTTTTTACACATTTTGTTGCAGTGACGTAAATGAAGATTATAAATTGTATAGTATTTGAAAATACACGCCATCTGAACAAGAAAACATTTTCAAAACGAAGAAGTCAGTAATGTTCTTGTATTATTTGTGTCAATAAATCAAAGAGTCTGGTAATTAAGAGTCTTCATATACACGCTCGACATGAGTCTAATGTCAGGAATAGTGAATATATGATATTTGAGATGTTGGTTAAGCAAGCCAAACCTTGTTATTAATCAGTGTTGCGAACAGTATCAGAAATTATCGATTTTACCTACCTTTCTCGGTATTGTAAGATATTTCCTGGACTGTGAATCTGTGGAATAAAACACATCAAAAGATCAAAACTTTAATAAGAAAGTTTCAAATAATGATATACATTTAAGAACATAGCCAAATATACCTTATTCATCATGTCAAATAACAATATTATTTCCTATAAAATCCGTTCGAAATAAATTGAAATATATGAAGTTGAATGAGGTTGTACTTTGACGGACGGTTGTGTACAGGGATTATTTAACTATCTGGTACTGTATAGGGATTATTTGTCTATTCAAAATTCAATATTCAAAATATGACTAGTAGGTTAATCAGCGAAAACTGAATTGATCCGAGCGTCAATCAACGAAAACTGACATGTATAAAAATCAGCTATAAATATCACAGGGTCACAGATATTTATGATTGAGTTCATACTAATATAATAACATTTTAAGTGGATATGTCATCAGTTATTTCATGGCGGTTTCAATTGCGGCACTATTGAGAGAAAACTCTCGATTTTCTCTTTGTGAAATTAACACATCATGACAGCTGGCATTGGACAAAAAATAAATATTGATACATGATATTAAAACTATTCGTTACATTGGCCATGACTCGTCATATTTAATAGGTAAGCGGCAAACTGATATCAATATATAATCCCGAGAGTTACCGCGCCTAGAAGGAAAAAAAGATTGATCATGACACGTGACCAAACCGGATCCTTCATCGAGAGTCTCGCGATGGCGTTCCCAGACAACACTCGTCAATCATCAAACACTCTTTTAGTAAGACATACGCAGCTAGCACTTTGTCGCGATTGATAATTAGAAAGATGAAAAAAACCAACCTAAAACATCATGAAACGTACATATATTATGCAATCTCAATATCATATGGAATGACTCCCTTGCGACCAAACTTTGGTCTGATTTGTGAAACTCCGTCACATAAAGACCCATGTGTACTTTGCGTCAGATTATCAATACAAGGACGCTGACTGTTGATGACAGTGATTGCATTTTTACACTAAACCCAGTCAGGACCATAACATTACCAGATTCCCCTGGGTACGCCAGAGTGCCAGCCGCCATTTGTAATGTATCCTACTCAACGTTGTTATAATCATTGCAGTCTGGTCGATTTTGCATAATTCATATTTCCGTGCTGCATTGTAATCGTCACAATGAATAATTAATTGTCTTAGGTTGGTAAGCGCATCGACCGTCACAGAGATACGTGCGATGGCTGCGGGATACAACATTATAATTATGTAAGAATCGAACGGAAGTACAAAACCATTTCCGTTTCTGACCCGGCAAACAAGTTTGTTTTTCAATAAAAGTTAATTCGAACCCGCATCAACGGGCAACGTGCATTAACTGGTAATCCATCTCTTTAATATAAATTCTATTTCAGAGGTAAAACGATTAAATGTAATTTACTCTGAACTCACGGCGCGGCTACAAACCTTGACACATACAGCAAAATACTGGTATTCTTTATAAGCTCCATATCTACATAGAAAAAATCTACTTTTCAAACTAGCTCTTATCAAAAATATCTAGATGCAAATATTGGTGAAGGAAAATATAATTTTCATATAAAAGAGATACATATGGAAAACCTATGACTAAATTTAAAAGAAATTAGGAATTCCTGCTTCACTATAAATTAATAAAACAACATTATTTAAATATCTTGTCTAAATACGGGCCTTTCTACAATATTTTGTCAAGTTATATACATCACGGGACAGAAAGAAAATTACTGGACAGTCAGTTAATAAAATAAAGCTAAATTACGAAAAATAATGCTGGTTTATATTGGAACAAAGAAAACAAAACAGTCACTCACTTTTCTACAATTTTCATATGATCCACACGATTATTTTGATATTGTTTTTTTCTATCAAACATTTTGCACTCTTCAAAAAAAAAAAAAAAAAAAAAAAGCTTCATTTCCCCTCTTCGTTTACAGGAGCAATTATCTTTTACTACAATTAACGCTTTCAAAACATTTGAAACATCCCAAACTTTCTGACAGGCACAACGTAATTTCAGACACGGGGTGAGGAACATAAATAATTTCGATGGCCGCCTCCGTAATCGGGTTCGCTTTTAATTATGACCGTAGAGCAAACCTTATACACATCACGCCGTGTTACAGTGGACTCCAAATTGAAAATTCCTTTAATTCGTTATTGCAATATCCTCCTAATGCATTGCAGAGACAGATGATTATTATCGAATTAATTTAGTATAGTAACCATTAAACAAATACACAACAGTCAGCGAAACTATAATTCGAACACAAACATAAGTGCCGTCTATAAAACTCCACAACAAGGTCCAAACCCCTAGAGTTGCACAACAATTGAGAATTTCATAAATACAGTTACCTCCCTTATTTTCGTTTCGGCTATACTAGAGCAGGCTACTACAAGTGACGAGGTACATGTAGCTCACTTAGTTAGAGCGATAGTATAATGATCAGAAGTCCGGGATTGGAACCCTAGTATAGTCACATCGTATTTTTTTACAAACAACATTTTTTCTCTGTTTCATTTTGTTTTTAAATTTTGTTATAAATCCGGCAAGCTATGGTTTTCTTTTTAGAAATGATATGTAATACTAGTTGTCATGAAAACAATACAGAGCATAACAAATAAATAGTACTTGGTAGTGATATTGGGGATCCTAAATAACCGATCCAATTTCTTCCCAGGCCCTTATATATGTTAATTCTCTTCCCACATATCCGTCACTGGTCTAGCTGACTCTGTCTCTCGACAGCAATATATATTTATATGACGTCTTAATATATAAAATGCGTTTAAATACACATTCGTTTTCATTTCCTCCAAATACATTAATTTCAGTTCCATTTTGTAAAATTTACCTGGCCCGGAGCAGTCGTCCGAATCAGACCCGGAATGTCTCTGATTGCTTCCATCGAATATCGTGGGTGACACCCGAGGCGACGAAAGGATGTTGATGTCTCGGTATTGTTCGGCAGATTTTAGAGCAATACGGCGAAGTTCAGAAGACAGATCGGCCATATGACTTTCCTCCAAACTGAAATCTCGACTGAAAAAAGGAATACCAATCGTACATGATAAGTTGATGATGCACAACTCTATGTGTAATGGAACAAACGTTACACTAATAATAAAATAACACAAAATTAATTTAAACATTATAAATGATTACATTATATATCAAGTATCTTATAAAAACACAGTTGGCTACCATATTAAGATATTTAGATAAGGGCTAAATTCTTATTAAGATTATTAATCTAATCAAAATAATGTTAAAATTTATATTTAATAAAAAAAAGAAGAAGAAAAAAGGCATTTTCTTTTGTGTTCTTAAGCAGAAGAATTTACGACCCCATTTCAAAATCAAATATCATGTGAACTTATAAGAAATATTTTAATAAGTTATAAAATTGATACAAGTTCAAACAGCGTTAGTGTTCTTTTAGACGTGTTAATTAATAGCATTCAAATTATATTGAAAAATTGTTGTTGTCATCCACTTTACAAAGCGTCGCTAGTCAGGAGGATTCCATAAACTTGAAGGGGAACACGCATTAAAGTGGCATGATGTTTAAATACATTCAAGAAGCTAAATATCAATTATATTTAGACAACAATAGAAGATGAAAAAGAAAATTACGTTACCCTTCGATATCAGGATTTTCCGATATTGAGCCAAGATCTGACACGGAGCCATGTTCGTCAGAGACCGCAAAGGAAGCGCGTTTCCTCAGCGACCTCGGCGAAACTTGAAGGAAAGAGTCTGATTTCCTTGCCTTACGAGCCTGCTCCTGTCTCAGTCTCTCTATCTCCCCTTCGTGAACTGTTCCTTCCAGACACCCAATAGAATGCGGCCGTACGATTCCCTGGCCTCCTCTGTTTCCACAGTCTAAATAGGACAGTGATAGAGTGTTTGGAGGGGTCAGACTTGAGCTCGAAGATGACGAAGCATCTACACTTCTCGATTTTACATATTTCCCTCGTTCTATTTGAATATTACACTGCGTCGACGCATCACGTTGCCACGGAAATCTGATCCCCGACTCGTCGCCCACGATATCAAACATTTGATAAGACGTCGTCTCGATGTGGGGACAACTATTGCTGTGCACGGGACGCCCTTTCCGACTGCATTTAGACGACGAGTCGTCTGTGCTGGAATGGAGACGAATAAATGCCTGGGACTGAGGGTCATTTGTATTTGAGATATTAACGTCGTCCGTATGTCCATTTCCATCTTCATTACACTCGGACATACTGGACAGACTCGACGGTACACTACTACACACAGTTGATAGCTGTATTGCTGAGGCAGAGTTGTGTCTCCTTTTCAAGAAGCTGTCCCTCTTTCGCTTCGCTGGGGATCTCCCATTTTGTATGCTGTATTCACTGCTGATTTGAGCTGGAAGCGATGCTCGGTGACGTTTGTCCCTGTCAAGGGTTGTTCCTCTAATTAGTGTTGGACCCAAACCGGCAGTTGTTTTTCTCCTTGTGGGCAAGGGAGGGACGTGGTCGTCATAATCCAAGGACCCGGCAACACCATGACAATGGTCACTCTCTGGAGAGAGAAAACAAACAAAGACAGGTTAATCATAAAGCCATGCAGACGAATCGCACACCAGGTGCCCGACCAACACACAGCGCATTCTTCCACACACAAATATTATCTAGATTTTCCTTCTCATTAATTTCCATAAAGCAGCAGTGCTGGCAGGATTTTAGACCGCTGAGGTCGGGGAGACTACGTTGAGAGTACCGACAATCATCACAGCGCCATTGTTGTCATTAGCAGATATGATGGAGGCCAGAGCATTTTAGGATAAAATTGTTCTGAGCTGGGGATATTTGGAGGGTTATAGATAGCACAGTTTTGCTGGTGTTCCTTTCTAGGTACCTAATTCCACGAGCTTTGTTTTCACTTCCTGAGAGTTTCATGACAAATGGATTTGCTGCCATTTTCCATCACCACTGATTTACCGAGAAAGCCTACAGCCGAGGGCTGTTCTATCAAAATTAAACTACGACTTGGGCATACAGAGACATAGAAAACATAATGGTGATGATGTACTGGAAATTAATAGATATAGCAGCATCAGACATGAGGGGTTGTCTATTGCTTGCATCTGAAAACATGCCAAGAACGTACTAGTATGCGACAAAAATTAATTACAAACATCTCAATAAATGCCTAGAATACGCGTAAGTCACTTTCCGTATGGTCAATACATTACAATAGAAAGCACTTTTGGTCACGATTGAAAATCGGGAAGAGGTGTGTAGTACACAAAACAATATTACTGGATACACATATTTTCATTAAGACACGTGACCTTTGACCGCTTATTGCGATATATTTACCACGGTTGGGTTTAATTACACAATGGGAGTTTTCACGTGGATGATACATGATATGAATACTTTTTGCATTAAAGATTATGAAAAAAACAGTGTTGAAAGTAATGGATTGAACTTCTTTCACAATTTATACATCTGTCTTTCTTTTAATAATTTTCATTTTGTTACTATTCACAAAGCATTACAACTTTTTATTAAAAACAATATTGGCCGTAATTGTACTTTCATAAACTGAAACAACCAAGCCCGCCATGTTTGATTAAGTCAAAATGTGTAGGTACGTTTTAACTAGGGCCCCGAAAATTACGAGTGCCCTATAGTAATCACGGTCCGTCCTTACGTCTGTCTTTCCGGAGATCATCTCATGATCCATTTGACCAATTTTTTTGAAATTTCACATGGTGATACACTGTGTTGTGCAGATGTGTAATAGTGGTTTAAAAAGCTCCTTAGGTCAAGGTCACTGTTACAAAATAAAATGAATTTGGAATAAACAGCAAAAAATGTATAATAGTCCCTAACAGAAGGCCAAACTTTCTAGAATTTCTTATGATGATACATTGTGATTATACACAGATGTGCAATAATGGTCTTGGTCAAGGTTGCTGTTACTAAAACTCAAACCGGGAATACACTGTTAAAAAGACATCAGATAAGGGCCTTACAGAAGGCCAAATCTTGTGTTTTACAGGATGGTTCATGTGCAATAGGGCTTTAAAAAGGGTTAAAGGTCAACGTTGCCGTTTCTTTAAAATAGAACAGGGCATATACTGTCAAAAATTATTGTAAATGGTCCTTTCTGAACAGTCAATGATCACTTTTGATTTTGCTTGGTGCTTATACGGGAGATACACTGCCAGACATACTGTGGGACCCTTGCTGACCTGTCAGTATTCTAGTTGACCTAGGTACATTGTGGTCTTCATTGAGTTAAATAGAGAAGACGGTTGTTGTCAGCTAACAATGTTCTAGTCTACAATGTTATCTTACTTACTGTGGGAATGTTCGCCCGTGGAAATGTTCATTCTGTCACCCTTTAATCAGATCAATGTCACCTATATAATGTATACGATACCATATTCATATTCGCGTGTTGATATATCCACATTTCTGCACCGCAAACATTTATACTGTTACAGTATACTGAATCCATGTGCAACATTAAAAATCATTCCTTTCAAAGAGATAAACAGGGGAACTAATGAATATTTTCGTCTTCTTAAGGATTACAAAACATTTCAAAGAAAAATAATTGGCAACGCTTTAAAAAAAAAGTTAATATGGGGTTTCAGCTTAAGTGAATGTGCTTTTCAACGAGAATGTTCCATATTGAGAACACAACCTTGAAATTTTAACTTCAAATCTAAAAACGTAAGTTGAGCTGAACAGTCACGGACACATTTCAATTTGCTATTGCATCTAACAGGAGCAAAATATTGTTCCTGAACTGATCATTTTACACAAATATTCACTCACCTAGCTAATTATAATGAGTGGCTAAACAATGTCGTCGACGTGATTGTTTTGGGTTTGCTTACTAACGTACATCAGCTCTGACATTTGTTGTCTGCCTATTGCAATTTCGAACTATAACGCCAATTCGTGCCATTACGGCCATATATTCCACTGTTATATATTTGTAAACCGGTATCTGTTGCTGTCGATGTTATATAACTTATTGATAAATCGAAACACCTGACCGACTAGTTTATTTCTTTTGAACAAAGTTTTAGTCAGACAGACGACTTATGAAACTCTAGGATGTAACACAGTCTCCCTAGATTTACGGTACTTTCGACACACCGTTTGGAAATAAATAAAACAAGCATAATTTCCAGAAATAGTATAAAATAATCTTTTCTCGATGCATTTGTTGCGTTTGATTAATTTATCTATTTTTTTTTAAATTTACAAATTATACACGCGTCGCGGTCTTTCAATTTGAATTTATTACCGGTAAAAGTATGGAGGATATTGTGCATGAAATAATTTGTTTTTGTTTATTATATATATGTTATTGCTTGTACAACTGTAGTATTGTAGCGATAAACACATGAGACTATTTTTGCAATATTTAACAACGATGGAGCCACGCGTTATTGATTGATTTATTGAATATTGATTTAATATTTCTAAGGTTATATGACGACGGTGCGTACAAAAGAAGTTGAATATCTATGGTTAATTTAAGATGCATCTCGGTGAAATTTCACAACCTGGGCACGACAAAACGATAATTCGTTTAGGTACAATATTCTGCAAACAGGCTGACCAGATGTGCACGAGGAGAAAACGCCAAAAGGAAAGCAAAGTTAAGAGATAAAAAGGGAAAAGGCCACAGGTGTTACATTGACAGCAATGATCCATTTTGGTCTCATGGGTATTATCAAGAACATAGCACAGAAGAAACCTCTAGATTATCAAGAAATCTCCACATTAGTCGTTTGTTTAGAAAACGGCCTTAAGAAAATGCTGTTAGATACAGCACGCACATTCTATCACGTGCTTACTTCTGCATCTACTGTTCTGTCCCAGTCTCGTTTTAAACAGCCATTCTTTTGACATTACGACTGTCTAGATACCGATTTTAAGGACTAGTTTCAATGATAGGAAAAAAGTAGATTCAAGAGACCACGAGTGTCTTTCCGAGTTTAATTGCCCTCCGGATTTTTAGAATTAGCTACATGTTGCGTAATTCTTGCGTCAGTTTTAGTGAATCAGCATACTCCAGTTGCCCATAAGATCAATTATTCATGTCTGTCACTGGATTCGACTCGACTCTCATGGTACAATCCAATGACATTTATCATATGTCTATGGCTGATATGTTTACCACTCTATGGCTGATATGTTTACCACTCTATGGTTGATATGTTTACCACTTTATGGCTGATATGTTTACCACTCTATGGCTGATATGTTTACCACTCTATGGCTGATATGTTTACCACTCTATGACTGATATGTTTACCACTCTATGGCGTTGCCATAGCCCACGTTTTGACCTCAACATTAAAATGTCGTCATAATTGAATTGGTTAATACTACTGACCCTCATTCGCAGGTCCCATTCCTTAAACAAGCATATAAGATACATTTCGTTAAACAAAATGCATTGTAACTGTTCTCCATGACATAAAAAATGATAAAAATGGCAACTAAAAGTATTAAACAATTTGAGTTGGTATTCATAGTCAACGTTAAATTCAAACTGGAAATTACAAAAAAACAACAACAAAAAATCAATCAAAATAGCGCTTTTCATGGCATTCATATTGACAATGAACACCTACTGAAAGTAGTTAAATGCCTAAACTGCATTAAAAACCCAATATTAAGCAAATATGAAACCTTGGCGTCACCCGCAATTTAGCAATCCACGGGTGTAAAGTAAGCGTCAATTCACCGACGAGTTATAAAAAAAGTCTAGTGATGACGTCATAATGACGTTTTCACAATATTTCAATACGTAGTTATTTAGACGCGTGGATTTTATAATGATAATAATGATAATTTACAACATTTGATATAACGCCCTATTTAGCTATCATATGCCACTCTAAAGCTCTTTACAGTACATGAATATACATTTATTACAATTAGCATATACATTGATCAATACAAATTTGAGGAATTCGCAGGAGCTGCCTTATCCGGCGCTAAATACTAGTCCTATGCCACCTGGCTAATATTTCCATATGTGTGTATGCCTGCGTGTGTGCTAGAGATGTGACCATACAAGTCATGATAACTTTACCTTTTAGTGATTTTTTTTGCATATTCATTTAGATATCGTCTTTCATTAATATAGCTATACAAACAAAGAAATATAAATCATTTGGCAATGTTGAATAATATGGAGACATTAGGTAAAGTAGAAAGATGCCACAACATCATAACATCGAAACCCGTAATCGTTAAGAAAAGACAATAACAGAAATCCAGGATACTCCAAAACAAAAGGGTAGGCAACATATCATTACACAATAATAACAAGTATCAGGCAAAGCGTTTACTGTTTATAATGTGTCATCTATCATAATATCACCTTTCACCATATGCAGCACCCATCATGTTATATTTCCTGTCACCACACGTGGCGCTCATCATGATATATCCGGTCACCATATGTAGCACCCATCATGATATATCCGGTCACCATATGTAGCACCCATCATGATATATCCGGTCACCATATGTAAC